TGGTAGACACAAGCAGAAAGGATATAAGCTGCCATGGCTACCTCAACCCAGGATTTTATACCTCAATTTTGTAAAAAGAAACATAGGAGGATTCAACCCGAGAATGCAAGGCTGGTTCAACATATGCAAGTCTATAAACGTAATTCACCACATAAAAAGAACCAAAAACAAAAACCACATGATTATCTCAACTGATGCAGAGAAGGCCTTTGACAAAATTCAACAGCCCTTTATGCTAAAAACCATCAATAAACTAGGTAATGATGGAACATATCTCAAAATAATAAAAGTTATTTACGACAAACCAACAGCCAATATCATACTGAATGGACAAAAACTGGAGGCATTCCCTTTCAAATCTGACACTAGACAAGGATGCCCTCTCTCACCACTCCTATTCAATATACTATTGGAAGTTCTAGACAGAGCAATTAGGCAAGAAAAAGAAATAAAGGGTATTCAAATAGGAAAGGAGAAAGTCAAATTGTCTCTATTTGCAGATGACATGATTGTATATCGAGAAGACCGCATCATCTCAGTCCAAAATCTCCTGAAACTGATAAGCAACTTCAGCAAAGTATCAGGACACAAAATCAATGTGCAAAAAACACAAGCATTCCTATACACCAATAACAGACTTCAAGAGAGCCAAATCAAGAACAAACTGCCATTCGCAATTGCTACAAAGAGAATAAAATACCTAGGAATACAACTAACAAGGAATCTAAAGGACCTCTTCAAGGAGAACTACAAACCACTGCTCAACAAAATAAGAGAGGACACAAACAGATGGAGAAACATTCCATGCTCATGGTTAGGAAGAATCAGTATCGTGAAAATGGCCATACTGCCCAAAGTAATTTTACAGATTCAACGCTATCCCCATCAAGCTACCAATGATCTTCTTCACAGAACTGGAAACACCTTAAGCTTCATATGGAACCGAAAGAGAGCCCGCATAGCCAAGTCAATTCTAAGTAAAAAGAACAAAGCAGGAGGCATCACAATACTGAACTTCAAACTATACTACAAGGCTACAGTAATCAAAACAGCATGGTACCAGTACCAAAACAGAGATATAGACCAATGGAACAGAACAGAGGCCTCAGAGGCAACACAACATGTCTACAACCACCTGATCTTTGACAAACCTGACAAAAACAAGCAATGGGGAAAGGATTCCCTGTTTAATAAATGACATTGGGAAAACCGGCTAGCCATGCGCAGAAAGCAGAAACTGGACCCCTTCCTGACATCTTGCACTAAAATTAACTCCAGATAGATAAAGTCTTAAACATAAGATCTAACACCATAAAAACCCTAGAAGAAAACCTAGGATGTAGGACATAGGCATAGGCAAGGACTTCATGACCAAAACACCAAAAGCATTGGCAACAAAAGCTAAAATAGACAAATGGGACCTAATCAAACTCCACAGCTTCTGCACGGCAAAAGAAACAGTCATTAGAGTGAATCGGCAACCAACAGAATGGGAAAAAATTTTTGCAGTCTACCCATGTGACAAAGGGCCGATATCCAGAATTTAAAAAGAACTAAAACAGATTTACAAGAAAAAAACAAACAAGCCCATTCAAAAGTGGGCAAAGAATATGAACAGACACTTTACAAAAGAAGACATACATGAGGCCAACAAACATGAAAAAATGCTCATCATCACTGGTCATTAGAGAAATGTAAGTCAAAACTACATTGAGATACCATCTCACGACAGTTAAAATGGCGATCATTAAAAAATCCGGAGACAATAGATGCTGGAGAGGATATGGAGAACTAGCAACACTTTCACACTGTTGCTGGGAGTGTAAATTAGTTCAACCACTATGGAAGACAGTGTGGCGATTCCTCAAGGACCTAGAAATAGAAATTCCATTTGACCCAGCAATCTCATCACTGGGTATATATCCAAAGGATTATAAATCGTTCTACTATAAGCACACGTGCACACAAATGTTCACTGCAGCACTGTTTACAATAGCAAAGGCCTGGAATCAACCCAAATGCCCATCAATGATAGACTGGACAGGGAAAATGTGGCACACATACACCATGGAATACTATGCAGCCATAAAAAACGATGAGTTTGTGTCCTTTGCAGGGACACGGATGAACCTGGAAACCATCATTCTCAGCAAACTGACACAAGAGCAGAAAATCAAACACTGCATGTTCTCACTCATAGGTGGGTGTTGAACAATGAGAACACATGGACACAGGGAGGGGAGCACTACATACTGGGGTCTGTTGGGGGGAAATAGGGGAGGGACAGTGAGGGGTGGGGAGTTGGGGAGAGAGAGCATGAGGAGAAATGCCAGATATAGGTGATGGGGGAGAAGGCAGCAAATCACACTACCACGTGTACCTATGCAACAATCTTGCATGTTCTTCACATGTACCCCAAAACCTAAAAAAAAAAAAAAAGATTTAGATGCATCTGAAAAAAAAAAAAGAAAAGAAAAGAAACATAGGAGGCCAGGTGCAGGGGCTCATGCCTGTAGTCCCACCACTTTGGGAGGCCAAGGCAGGCAGATAATTTGAGGTTAGGAGTTCGAGACCAGCCTAGCCAACATGGCAAAACCCAATCTCTAATAAAAATACAAAAATTAGCAACATGTTGTGGTGAGGGAATGCGTTTTCTTTCTGGCTCCATGAGGGGGCGTAGCTTTAATGGCAAGAATTTCCCAGCACCATGGCCCCCTCCCATCCGGGAGATTCAATGGTTTATGTTTGAATTTTGTGGGAGCGGGAAGAAACTAAAAGTCAGTCACTCCATCGGAAGTTCTAAGGAACTCCTTTCATTGGCTCAGGGTCTTGGAGAAGGTGGGGGTTTCTCTCAGGATAAAAATCCGTGCTCCCTTACCTGCGCTGGATTTTCCAGCTTTCTGGAATCCCCTCCCACATGGAGGGATCTCCCTCCAGGATTTCCCCTCTGGAATCCCCTTCTACACTCTTCTGGAAGCCTTTCTCCTCTTCTCCTTTCCTTCTCTTTTCTCTACCTAAATAAAATCACCTTTCTGCAACAATTTTTGGGTCCGATATTCACATTGGGAGCATATGGTGCAGCTTAAGCGGCCCCACCACTTATTCTTTAAGAGGCTGGAGGCCAAGTACCCACAACATCCAAGGAAAAAACCTGGTTACAGTGGCACACACCTGTAATCCTAGCTACTTGGGAAGCTGAGGTCGGAGAATTGCTTAACCCAGGAGATGAAGGCTGCAGTGAGCAGAGATGGCACCACTGCACTCCAGCCTGAGTGACGAAGTGAGTGAGACTCCATGTCAAAAAAAAAAAAAAAAAAAAAGAGGGAAGGGGAAGGGAGAGGAGGGGAGAGGAGAGGAGGGGGGAGGGGAAGGGAGGCAGACGGAGCAATTCCTATCAAGAAGTTGGGAGGTGGAATCAAATAATGTTCAAGTACAATTTCAAATATTATGTATTACTTAGTAACTGTTTATAAAATCCTTAGATTTAAAAAAAAAATCCAATATTTTGCCATGTTCTTGTAACCTATGCCAAAGAAAACCAGTGAACTGCAGCCCTCTGATTAGAAAATTCTACTCTAAGCTACACAGCTATCCATCTCAAATAATTTGCTATTCATTTCTTCTCAACAACCTGAGAAAAATATTTCTGAAGAACTGAACTGTTGAGGGATCTCATGTTTTATCCTTAGTTTGAAATGAATCATTGAAAAAGCAAGATACTTCAGTCTTGGATGTTTTGTATCTCCATAACCCATTAAAAACACCAAGTTATACTGTCAAGCTACACCTCACCGTTACTTGAGAAAGAGTTACAACATCAGCTGGACATGGTGGTGCATGCCTGTAGTCACAGCTACCTGGAGGGCTGGCATGGGAGAATCTCTTGAGCCTAAGAGTTTGAGACCAGCCTGGACAACATAGCAAGACCCTGTCTCAAACAAAAAAAGACTTACAACATCATGACATCTGTTACCATGTTCTACAGAGAGATTAAGAACACTGTGCCTTACAGGAGTGTTTAAAAAACCTCTGCTTCTTTGATGTAACTAGTATGTTTTCTCCTCAAGGATCCTGAAAATACATAAAAGACTGCATTTCCTTTTATGCTCTAGCCAGCAAAAAGCTCAAAAACTAATTTAAGATGAAACTAAATAAATTATGCTTGACTTTATAGCCTGAAGATCTCCATTCTGTTTTTCTACCCTTACCTCACCCCATTCATGTAAACTATTGGGTTGTTTCTCTATGATTCAGAGGTGTATCACTGAGTTTCAACCACATATATTTATGTATTTAGCACTTTGGAGAGACTTAAAAGTAATTTCAAAAGGGTATAAATAAGTGGTGTAACCTCACCGTGAATTACATAAGACCAGTAAAAGTAATCATTTTTACAATAGCAGCCAACCTAAAAGATAAAGAGAGAGATTTTAAGAGAATTTAAGACTGCCACACTGGAAAAATGGCAAACTTTTAAAACTACGAATCTACCTCTAGCAGAGCTAAACCACTCATCAATAAGTTTAGATTGGTCATAAGAACATTTGTTCACTATGTTTTCTTACAACTCCTGGGCCTTGTCTGAAAACTAAGAACACCTCAGAACAGAAAGGAAATTATTCAAGTCAGCTTTCAGGCTAAAGGTGGTTTTTTTAACTTTATCTTTACCCAGACTCCCTCTACTGACGAAAAAATAAATAAATAAAACAAACTATCGAATTGTACTAGCAAATTTTATCAACAAAAAAAAAATAACATTTTTAAAAGAGTTTAAAGTCAACATTCTAGAAATAATGGATTAAAAACTGACTTTCCTATAGACACAAAAAGAAATAAACATCTGTGAACTGAAAACTCAAATATTCCAATTTTATAAGTGGCATATGCCATTTCAATATGCAGTACTGCTTTTCAACGTTAATCCTTAAATGCAAGAAGTGTTAAATATTTTTAAATCATTTTAAATATTTTAAATAATTTCTTGGTAATATAATGTTTACCTGTATCTGTTCTGCTGTCCATTGGTCTAGGTTGACTGATTTGACCCTGGATATATGAACCCCAAGATTTCTATGAATTCCAGCACATCTGATGCAAATAAACACACCAATATTCCAGGAAGCCCATCGAGGACCTAATTAAGAAGAAGAAATAACAAAAAAAAAAAAAGGCAAATATTAAAAACTAAAATAAACATAACAGCATATTAGAAGCATTCTGGGTTTTATATAATTATAACGGAAGCTTACAGAAGTCACATGCTCAAATTTTCAAATGGTACAGGCAGCAGTTTGCTAAGAAGACATGTGTCTTGGCAATCTTCAAGAACCTTAATGATATGAGGCAGGGAACAGGATGGGGACCGTGAGTATGACAAGAACCGTAATGATTTTACTCATTTTGCTTTCCTAGAAACCTCCCCTCTACTCTAATATTTTAAAACTAATTTATACAGTTTTTTCACTCAGCATATTTGAATCAGGCATACTAATACCCTACTGTAAAAATAATTTCTTTATTAAATGCATAAGATATGCTTACAAGATTCCCAACAAATAAAAATCAAAGACATTTTAAAAATTAAATGTAGAAAATAAGAAAAACACAACCAGCCCAACAGAAAAGGAACAAAAAGATATTAATGAATAATTCACAGAAGAAATGTATGGTCAGGCCAATAAGCATGAAAATATGCACAAACTCACTGGTAATTAGTGCAAGTGCTCTTTAACTCTACAGTTATATTTTGCACCCAACATATAGGGAAACAAAATTTTTAACTACTAGTACTAAGTGTTGGCAAGAATGTGAAACAAGGACTGCTTCAAACAGGCTTGGATCATGGAAGAAAGGATATCAAAGATTGAAGATCAATTCAATGAAATAAAATAAGAAGCTAAGACTAGAGAAAAAAAGAGTGAAAAGAAATGAACAAAGCCTCCAAGAAACACGGGATTATGTGAAAAGATCAAATCTACGTTTGATCAGTGTACCCAAAGGTAACAGGGAGAACGAAACCAACTTCGAAAACACTCTTCAGGATATTATCCAGGAGAACTTTCCCAACCTAGCAAGGCAGGACAACATTCAAGTTCAGGAAATACAGAGAACGCCACAAAGATACTCCTCAAGAAGAGCAACCCCAAGGCACATAATCATCAGATTCACCAGGGTTGAAATGAATGAAAAAATGCTAAGGGCAGCCAGAGAGAAAGGCCAGGTTACCCACAAAGGGAAGCTCATCAGACTCACAATGGATCTCTTGGAAGAAACCTTACAAGCCAAAAGAGTGGGGGCCAATATTCAACCTCCTTAAAGAAAAGAATTTTCAACCCAGAATCTCATATCCAGCCAAACTAAGCTTCATAAGTGAAGGAGAAATAAAATTCTTGACTGACAAGCAACTGCTGAGAGATTTCATCACCACAAGTCCTGCCTTACAAGAGCTCCTGAAGAAAGCACTAAACATGGAAAGGAACAACTAGTACCAGCCACTGCAAAAACATACCAAATTGTAAAGACCATGGACACAATAAAGAAACTCCATCAACTAACAAGCACAACAACCAGTTAGCCTCAAAATGGCAGGATCAAATTCACACTTAACAATATTAACGTTAAATGAAAATGGGCTAAATGCTCCAATTAAAAGATACAGACTGGCAAATTGGATAAAGGGTCAAGACCCATCAGTGTGCTGTATCCAGGAGACCTATCTCAAATGCAATGACACACATAGGCTCAAAATAAAGAGATGGAGGAAGATTTAACAAGCAAATGGAGAGAAAAAAAAAAAAAAAAAAAAGCAGGCATTGCGATCCTAGTGTCTGATAAAATGAAATTTAAACCAACAAAGATCAAAAGAGACAAAGAAGGGCATTACATAATGGTAAAAGGATCAATGCAACAAGAAGAGCTAACGATCCTAAATATATGCACACCCAACACAGGAGCACCTAGATACATAAACCAAGTTCTTAATGACCTACAAAGAGACAGACTCCCACACAATAATAGTGGGAGACTTTAACACCTCACTGTCAATATTAGACCAATGAAACAGAAAATTAACAAGGATATCCAGAACTTGAACTCAAATCTGGACCAAGCAGACCTAATAGACAACTAAAGAACTATCCACCCAAATCCACAGAATATACATTCTTTTCAGTACCACATCAGACTTACTCTAAAATTAACTACATAATTGGAAGTAAATTACTACTCAGCAAATGCAAAAGAACAGAAATCATATACTCTCTCAGACCACAGTGTAATCAAATTAGAACTCAGGATTAAGAAACTCACTCAAAACTGCACAATTACATGGAAACTGAACAACCTGCTCCTAAATGACTACTGGATAAATAATGAAATGAAGGCAGAAATAAAGATGTTCTTCGAAACAAATGAGAAAGAAGACACGATGTACCAGCATCTCTGGGACACATGCAAAGCAGTGTCTACAGGAAAATTTATAGCACTAATTGCCCACATGAGAAGGGAGGAAAGAACTAAAATCAACACCCTAACATCACAATTAAAAGAACACCCTAACATCACAATTAAAAGAGGATCAAGATCAAACAAATTCAAATGCTAGCAGAAGACAAGAAATAACTAAGATCAGAACAGAACTAAAGGAGACAGAGAAACAAAAAACCCTTCAAAAAAATCAATAAATTCAAGAGCTGGTTTTTTGAAAAGATCAACAAAACAGACCACTAGTCAGGCTAATAAAAAAGAAAAGAGAGAAGGATGAAATAGATACAATAAACAATGATAAAGGAGATATCACCACCGATTCCACAGAAATACAAACTACTATCAGAGATTACCACAAACAGCTCTATGCACATAACCAGTAAATCAGAAGAAATGGGTAAATTCCTGGTCACTGACACTGCCCAAAACTAAATCAAGAAGTTGAATCTCTGAAAAGACCAGTAACAAGGTCTAAAGTTGAGACTATAATTAATAAATAGCCTACCAATAAAAAAAAGTCCAGGACCAGATGGGTTCACAGCCAAACTCTACTATAGGTACAAAGAGGAGCTGGTACCATTCCTTCTGAAACTCTTACAAACAATACAAGAAGAGGAAATCCTCCCTAACTCATTTTATAAAACCAACATCACTCTGATACCAAAACCTGGCAGAGACACAACTAAAAAAAGAAAATTTCAGGCCAACATGCATGATTGGCAAACCAAATGCAACAGCACATCAAAAAGCTTATCCATCAAGTTGGCTTCATTCCTGAGATGCAAGGTTGGTTTAATATACAAAAATCTATAAACATAATTGATCACATAAACCAAACCAAAGACAAAAACCATGATTATCTCAATAGATGCAGAGAAGGCCCTTTAAGCTAAAGACTCTCAATAAACTAGGTATCGATGGAACATATCTCAAAATAATAAAAGCTATTTATGACAAACCCACAGCCAGTATCATACTGAATGGGCAAAAACTGGAAACATTCCCTTTGAAAACCGGCACAAGACAAGGGTGTCCTCTCCACCACTCTTGTTCAACATAGTATTGGAAGTTCTGGCCAGAGCAATCAGGCAAGAAAAAAGAAATAAAGGGTATTCAATCAGAAAAAGACAAGTCAAATTGTCTCTATTTACAGATGACATGATGGTATATTTAGAAGACCCCATCATCTCAGCCCAAAATCTCCTTAAGCTGGTAAGTAACTTCAGCAAAGTCTCAGGATCCAAAATCAATGTGCAGAAATCACAAGCATTCCTATACACCAATAACAGACAGAGAACCAAATCATGAGCGAATTCCCATTCAGAATTGCTACAAAGAGAATAAAACACCTAGGAATACAACTTACAAGGGATACGAAGGATCTCTTCAAGGAGAACTACAAACCACTGCTCAAGGAAATAAAAGAAGACACAAACAGATGGAAAAACATTCCATACTCATGGTTAAGAAGAATCAATATGGTGAAAATGGCCATACTGCCCAAAGTAACTTACAGATTCAATGCTATCCCCATCAAGGTACCATTAAACCCTCAAGGAACTGGGGAAAAAAACACCTTAAACTTCATATAGAACCAAAAAAGAGCCTCCATAGCCAAGACTATCCTAAGCAAACAAAAAAAACAAAACATAACAAAAAAATCAAAGCTGGAGGCATCACGCTACCTGACTACAAACTATACTACAAGGCTACAGTAATCAAAACAGCACAGTACTGGTACCAAAACAGAGATACAGACCAATGGAACAGAACAGAGGCCTCAGAAATAACACCACACACCTACACATCTGATCTTTGACAAACCTGACAAAAACAAGCAATGGGAAAAGGACTCCCTATTTAATAACTGGTACTGGGAAAACCGGCTATCCATACGCAGAGAGCTGAAACTGGACCCTTTCCCTATACTTTATATAAAAATTAACTCCAGATGAATTAAAAATTTAAACATAAGACCTAACACCATAAAAACCCTAGAAGAAAACTTAGGCAGTACCGTTCAGGACACAGGCATAGGCAAGGACTTCATGACTAAAACACCAAAAGCAATGGCAATAAAAATCAATATGAACAAATGGGATCTAATTAAACTCCAGACCTTCCGCACAGCAAAAGAAACCGTCATTAGAGTGAACCAGCAACCAACAGAATGGGAAAAAATTTCTGCATGCTACTCATCTGACAAAGGGCTAGTATCCACAATCTACAAAGAACTTAAACAAATTTAAAAGAAAAAAAACACCCACCCCACCAAAAAATGGGCAAAGGATATGAACAGACATTTCTCAAAAGAAGACATTTATGCAACTAACAAACGTGAAAAAAAGCTCAACATCACTGGTCATTAGGGAAATGCAAATCAAAACCACAATGACATACCATCTCACACCAGTTAGAATGGTGATCATTAAAAAATCAGAAGACAACAGATGCTGGAGAGGATGCAAAAAAACAGGAATGCTTTTACACTACTGGTGGGAGTGTAAACTAGTTCAACCATTGTGGAAGACAGTGTGGCAATTCCTCAAGGATCTAGAACAAGAAACACTATTTGATACAGCACTCCCATTACTGGGTATATACCCAAAGGATTATAAATTGTTCTATTATAAAGATACATACACATGT